AACCTACAGAAACTAGAGGGGATAACAAAGAAGTCGAAGGTAGACAAGATGCTACAGATTCTCAATTTAGAGAAGTAGATTTTGAGTTTACCACGTTTTCATATGGATATCATCAAAATCGAAGAGAAGAAAACTCCCACATGTTTCGATATTCCTTGTACACTTCCTAGAAGAAACTAAAATGCTAAACTAAGTGTTTTCCACGAGAATGCATCGACGATATGCTATTTTACTTACTTCTTACTAGTATTCTCCCAGAAATTCGTGCGCTGAACACCTTTCGCCGAGTTGCTCTCCAGTGAGGTCATTGCTGAAATAATCTCGATGAGTGAGGAGGTGATGCTGGACTGTCGCGTTTTGTTATATAACGAGCTTGTCAGCTGCTGGAGAGTGGTGATGTTGGAAAGCTGACCCTCAACAGCAACAAGGCGTGCAGCCTGCTCGGAAAGCTCGTTTTCACAAACAGCATTCAAAATAGCAAGGCTGGCATGAAAATCGTAAAAATCACGCATTAGTTCCTCATCTTCGTTGAGAAGTGCATTAGCAAAAAGATAACGATGCTTTTGATTCTCTGAACTGGAAGCATCGACGAGGTCCGTTTTCCATTTATCATAACACGGAATAGTGTAACAGCACTGACGCTGTAAACCAGACGAGATGCAGCGATGAAAAATCACTCGAAAACCATCAGCATCAGGACAAAGAGCATTCACGTTTTCCCATACATAGCTCGCATACGCAAAATGCATAGGCTCTTTCATATCATTTATAATGCCATAACCGAATGTATCGGGGTATAGTTTCGACAAAGTCTCAATACCTTTTTTTCCCAAAGGCATTAGTACCATTTTGCCGTCCGACATTAAGTCAATAGTTTTTAGCACATTGCTATTAAGAGCACCACAGGAACCTCTATTCGTCATGACGGGAATGCAAGCCTGTTTGCTTTTAGTCTTTACAGCGGCTTCATGCGCCGTAGTACTGGCAGTGCTGAAGGCCTTCTCTGTATAACGCAATGTGTAATCACGCGTCTTCATGCGGGTCTGAAGCTGACGGAACTTCGCCATTGTGACCATTTTAATTGTTCTTACGATGGAGTAGAAGTGATTATAGCCCTCCAGCTTTTCCTTATACAAACGAAGTTTTCCAGACATTTTTTTCTATGTATCCTTTAATAACAGTAATATAAAAATACTACGAAACCTAATGACAAAAATAGCAATACCCAAGAAAGGTAAGCAAAATGACACTAAAGAGAATATCCATAGGGTTCGTTTTTTTAAAATTCGCAACCCGATAGAACGCATAGAGTCCGTTGAGATTAATTATTCTGCGCATAAGCATAAATTTATCTATTTAGATTATGACCAGAAAATCCTTTACTTGAAATTAATACAGATCGCCTTTCTGATACTCAACTTCCCATTTTCATTGTATTTGTATTGGTGCTGTTTTTCGTATCATTTATTTATGAGTGTATTCACACAACTACTCTTTCCTCTAACATCATTGGCGTTGTTAACTTACGCTTTAATCGCTATCCGAATCACCTGCGCGGGGACGCTTCGCACCGCTGGCCCTTACTGGCTGACCATACTGGACGCCTTCTGCATTCGTCTTTACACCACCGTAATCCACATAGAACCAATCAGATGGCGTGTTAGTTTGTGGGCGCCCGAACTTATCTAACAAGCCATCCTTCATCAGGGACCGCTTCTTTACGGCAATAGGGCCGAGACCCCACCGACGCGGATAAGTATCCCGATCCATAATAACACGCTTACTTCGAGCTACAATGCCGTGTTCCACAGAGGCCATTTGTGAAGTGGACATTTCAGCATACGCGAGGGCAATCGCCTCGCCTTTGGTAGTGATAAGGACTATGATGTCCTCGCGTTCAATGCCGTTGTCAAAGCGGGAGAGTCCAGGAATCATAAGCTTTGCCCCGTAACAAATGGCATTTACAGCCGAGTCCTTCACAACCACACGCTTATAATTAGTTAAGAGATACTCACAGGGCAGAATCACACGACGTAAATAGGAATCATCCTTTTCATTTTCGTAAAGCCACTGAGCGTCAAGGACATCATGCATCGTCGACAGGTGATCGTCCTCAGAAATAACACCTGTACGAATGCGACGTAGCTCCTCCATATGGCCACCCACACCCAGGATAAGGCCCAAGTGGACGCAAAGGGTACGAATGTAGGTCCCCGCCTCACAGTGCGTCTCGAAAACAGATAAATGACGATGCTTGTCATATTCGATTAATTTATTTGAATAAATGTTACGAATGCGAAGTTGGCGCTTGACGGCAGCAATAAGGGGAGGACGCTGAAAGCACGGACCGGTAAGACGCTGTAAGGCAGCATCAACTTTCTTTTGACTGACGGTGTCATGAAGTCGTAATACGCCAATGTAAGTTTTACCGGCATTCTGCTGAGATTTGACAAGGCGAGTAGCGCGGTCTGTGCAAATAATGAGGGCACCCGTTACCTTGGGATCCAATGTGCCAGCATGGCCAGTTTTTTCGCACTTTAAAATCCGCTTGATCCACGACACAACCTCATGGGAGCTAGGATTAGAAGGCTTATCAAGGTTTATCATACCATACTTAATGTACTCAGTTAGTGACCGCCGGAGTGGGGTTGACCCGCTTTCGAGCAGCGTAAAGTGAGAGGAACGAACGTTCATCTTGTCATAGTTCTTCAGTAGTAAAGGCCATTCCTCCGGAGAAAGCACCCCGCTATCACTTTTTTCGACTTCGGGAATGCAAAAGTCCTCGCTGCGCTGGATTACACCTACCCGTTTTTTGCTCATTTTCTTCACTCCTTCAGAATACTGAATCGGCTTTCTTAAATTAACCTCTCGTTGAATATGGAGTAGCAAATTATAGTGTTTACAAACGACGGAGAGTCAAGAAGGACATGCATTCGTAAGAAGAAAAAAAATACAAACTAAATTAGTTGGCGGAAATATCATCAAAAGTGTTTCATAAGAATAATAACCATGGCAGTAATATATATATATATATATATATATATATATATATT